CCTGTCAAGCCACAGGAACCTGAGGTTTGCCCTACCCTTATCAAAATATTCCAGTTGCCACACCTGACCATTTCCCCCTGTCACCCCCCACAGCAATTGCCACCACAAGCCCAATGTGCTGCATGGGTAGGGCTGGGATGTGTAAGAGCAGAGCTCACAAGAACCTTTTATTTGACGAGTGGTCTTTGCTTGAGAAATAATTTTACAGCACAGTATGAGATCAAATCTGTTGCCAGTTAACTCATTTCCTACACCGGTTTGCTTGTGGTTGTACAGGCACGCTCACGACTTTTTTCCTGAACCTTTGAAGAAAAGTGCATTCATGGGAAGTGGCAACTTGTGGCCTTGAACTCCTTACAGGGTTCCCCCGCCTATTTCAGTTGCGACATTTACACTTAGTTGAAACAGTGAATTGCTATTGATCAGGAAGCATCACCAGCTTTTTCAAAGTGGAATGAACACTCTGGCAGTAAGTTTTTACCTCTGTATTCCAGGGTGTTACATACAGACATATAAATTGACTGCAAACTCTAAAAATAAGCTTAACAGAAAATATAATCTGTATTTTTACTTTAAATTTCTGTTCTATAAAGGCACTGAGATCATATTTTGGTTAGGATTTAGCAGCTAAGACATTTTTATTGGCATGTCTCTAGTGACTTAGAGTTTATTGTCATGTTGCTTTATTAAACTGCATGCAAGGAATACTTAGTGCTTAGTGAAGACAACGTAATATTTAAAATTCATGGTCTTTTTCCTTGCTTTACTAGCATAATTTATGTTTTTAAAGCAGAAAAATCCCGAAATACAATTTTTTTCTGATTGCACTGACTTCTACATGTGCATGAGGACACCCAAGCAAAGCTCACTAGTTTCAACTCGGTATACTGCCAAATTGGCACAATTTCTAATTAACATATTGCACATGGAAAACCAGGCATCCATAACACCTTCTGTAGTTTTATAATCATCAGAGAAATTACTTAAAGCTATTGGCAATTAAGCTATTTGAAATTACTTTAATAGCCTTTTCCTCAACAGCTCTCCTATTTGTAGAAACGTGGATTTGCCACAGCCTTTAGATGAATTTAGGTGAATTTAAATTCCCCAAGACCATGCTAGAATTTTCCTCCTGGGGGCAATGGGAGTGTTTTGGTGTGTACCACTGTCCAGCTAGGAGAGAGCAGCAAAAGGAGCCCCATGTTTAAGTGACTGGTCCATAAGGAAATCAGCTGTGACACTCAAAATAGCAATTTACCTTCAAGTGGTTGAGGTTTGTTTGGCCTCTTCCTCTTGGTGCATTGCGTCACTACTGACTTCAGTTTACCCCTGCCAGACACTAAAGATATGGTTTTGGTTCCCTATCTTTTAATCAGCTCCCAGACGGCTAAATTTGGAGTGTGTCATCCCCACATACGATCTGCAGCGTGCTGAAAGCTCCTGGTTATTCACACCACCTCTTAATAGCAAAGTCAACAGCATCAAACCCTTTCAGGGGGAAGTTTTGAAATAGCAGAAACACAGTGCTACAGTACAAGAACTTGCCAGGATTCTTCATTACTCTGCATTTGTATCATCCTGTATGGACACTGCTTATTTTTGGCCGGACAGGACTCTAATGGTCACAGCTATGGGTCACCACCCAAGCCATCCTACCCAATAATTCCTGTTCCAAGCTCAGGTTGAGAAATACTCATGCATTTCGAAAAAAAAGCACCTGATCTTGATTTAAAGAGGGCAAATGGTATAAAAAACCCAACTCCTTCCCTTTGCAAGTTGTCCCAGTTCACAGTGACCCACACAGTTGTAAAATGTACCTTGTGAGAGGAACTTTTCTCTCTCAGTTCTAGACACCTACAGCTGAGCTAGACTCTTTTTGTAGACAGTGGAAAAAAAGAGGTGTTACCAAAGCACAGTTCATCTGACCTATCTTAGATAACCAAATAATGGCCTAGACAAGTCACTTCTTTTTCTCCCATTACCTAAAAGAAGGTCTAGTTCAAGTGTATCTACCAGAGGTATATTTACCAAACATACATTATTGCTGTATCTGAATGCCAGGATATAGAGCCTCAAGTATATTTTTGCACTGTATAAGTCTTTTCCTGGAAAGTCCCCCTCTTATCTCTGCCTGGTCTCTAATTCTGACACTATTTTAACCCAAGAAAATAATTTTGTTTCAGACCACAACCAGCTAATGTCCTCACGCTCTCCCTCCAATGAGCTAAATAAAAGGATTTCCTAAACCTCCAGTATAGTTCGGATTTTCAAGCCTTAAAGTCACTCTGGGAGTGTTTTATGAAGCCCTCCCCAGTTTTTCAGCATTTTGGGGGACGATGACTGATATGTAATGGCACTTTGCAAGCCTGATCCCAGTGTGCTTGGGTACAGAGACAGCAGCAATAGGCACCTTGCTGTGGTGCTGTGCCTGAGCTAATTAGTCAGCTGACTCAGCCACTTAGTTCAGGAAAATTGCCATGCTGGTGTGACCATGGTCATTCACAAGGGACAGCGTTGTCTCTGCATTGCTTTGCTCTGCACAGCTCAGACATAAGTGGATTTAGAAAAATGTCATTCTGATTTGGATATCGCCAAGAAGCAGGACAGCAAGGAATTAAGCTTAATACAGCAAATGATGAATAAAAGGGAAATTACAATGGGGAAACAAAATACTGGACCCTTAATAAACCTTATAATGGGTATTTTTCAGTCTGGAGTGCTCCTTAGATATCAAGTGTAGGAGAACAACTTCCCAGCTGTAGTTGAAATATTACCTGTCATCATGTTACTTGGAATACCTTTTATATAGGAAAACTTTAAAATATCTAAATCTGGAAACATATCAATATCAATTGAGCAACCTGCTGCAGTGGAACGTATTTCTCCCCATTGCAGGGGGGTTGAAACGAGATGATCTTTAAGGTCCTTTCCAACTATTCCGTGATTCTACGACTCTGTGGTCAATAAAACTGCAGTTACATGATCTGTGTTTATGCAGCAGCTGGTATTTCAGCCCCATACAATAATTACTTATTTGCCTTAAGCAAAGTGAATCACATACACAATTAAGGTTCACCAGAATGCCAAGGTAAAAGTGTTTGGCTTCGATGGGTGTGTTTTATGTGTATATTTATTGCCCTTAGCATCAGAGGGAGCAAATTCACACCCTGGTAAACTTGATGATTAGGGAATTTGCAGCTCTCCAAACCCACACATGCCACTAGCAGATGAAATTACACGGAGGATTGCAGCTGCTGCTTAATTAGTAGGATGATAAATCTCAGGGAGATGTTTGCCCTCTGTATGACAAAACAGCAGAGGCATGAGGTGGCTGGGGGGGAAAGTCAATCCATTCCTTTAGCACTTAAATCCTCACTGTCTTCCCAAACTCCCCCTAATGCTTCAATCCTGATGCCTGCCCTGGAGCCTTAGAGACTGCACTGGAGAGATGATGGGGAAAATGGGAAACACTGCAAAATGCTTGAAACAGCTCATTTTGAGCAGAACTGGACTAACAAGATACTTTTTTTCCTTTAAATTGACACACCTTTCCTTTACAGACCTATTTTATTGTGCAACCAAGAGAGAGAAATGAGTGCTCCAGACCTCCTACCCAAACTAGCTCAAACTCTAAGGGCTTAGATCTCATCCTGCAGAGGCCTGACAGCTACAGAGAAGACAGGATAGGAAAAGACTCAAAAGTGTTTCACTGCAGTATTTATACTTCAGTCACCATCAGTATTTATTCTTCCTTGCTTTATTTCTTTAGAAACCCTATTGCCTATACAGTAATTTCCCTCCTTTTAACTTTTCCAGATCATTCATTTAGTCATTGGACGAGGTTTGCCTTCCATCTCTGCAGAATGAATGGCATTTCCTTGTGAAGAAATTTTGTCTCATCATAATAAGGATGCCCCTGTCAGCACAATTCACTCTTAATGACCACCTGAAACCAGAAGGTACAGAGAGATGCAGCTGAGCTGTGCAGCAGTCTGAGAGACTAATAATTAGTGGCCTCTACACTCAGTCATTTCTCAGGAAACACTGCTCTGTAACAGCTTAGATGTCTGCATGGGAAGAAATCAGTCTAATTCCATTGTCTGGCTGAGTTTCAGTGGGACAACCAATTTAGGGTGAGGCTTAAACGATTTTGGAGAGGGCCTTAACTCGTTGTTGTTTCATGCTTGATATCTGGAATTCTTTAAGAAAACAACTCAGGTAAGTAACATTTTTCTGTTTTTAGAAGACACTGAGGCCATAAAATGGACTCTGTAGCATAGATTTTTTTTTTTTCCTATTATCTCTGATTGAATGGTTTCTCTTTTTGTTTTATGACCTCCAGCTTTTTTCAAGGCCAAAGATAAACTGTCTCACAACATGAGATTAGTGATAGTGGCTGAAAGCTGGAGTTAACACCCTTCCTATTACTTTTCTCAAAGGTACCACACGATACAGGCTTATTCCTTTTTTTCCCAACCACCAGCAATAGAGAAATACATTACATTAGCAGAAGCAGTCACTCATTTTTATATCTGGGGAATGGGGAGACAACATAATATATAACATCCCACACATGTCCTCCTGCTGAGGATAATCTTGGCTTGCTCCCATACAGATTGATGTGAACATTGTGTAGCCCTTTTCAGAGATTAACTAATCTAGAGATGGAGAGAGAGCTGAGTGAGCACCTTAGAAGTCATAATTTATTTGACAAACAGCAGCTCTCTTTCCATTCCTAGCACCCTGCACCCCTGTTGGCGTAAGGGGCAACTGGCGTTGCAAGAATAAGCTGGAAATAGAGTCCCTCCACTGCCCTGCTTTCTCCACAGAAGAAGAAGGAAGGAGTAATACCAAAAGAGCAAAACAAGAGGTGTGTTGCCATGGCAGCCTGGCTCTCCTGTCTGCTTATCCATGTCATTGTTGTCATCAGCTGATGACATCATCAGACTGACCCTGTATTTTGGCAGCCCACAGAAACCTCTAAGAGAAGAAGTACTTACTTGGACATATGTCTTTGCATTGCTGTACAATTCACGTCACATCCTTCATCTCTTTTCTTACTTTTTGTTGAGGTGCTGAGATGTTTCATTTCACAGCCATGCAACATCCGAAACAGAATTCACGTGAGTGTGGCGAGCTGGCCATGTTGGTGGCTCCCTAAAAATGCCAGAAAACATCTAATGGAATAGCAGCCTTACTCTTCCTCAGGGGTGTCAGTGGAAATTTTGACTGTGAGAAAATGAAACTACCAACCTACGGATCACAAGTGATTTTGTTGGTGGTGCTTCCTTGGCTTGTGTATGAGCTGCTGTGAATAGCTGCTACTGATTGAAAACGAGCGATTGACAAATCCATGAGATGAGCTGAGGTAACTCCAGACAGCTGCAAGGGACCACTTCATGAATAATGTAATTTCTTCCCTCCACATACAGAGTTAAAATGCTTCTAATTGTTACTGCACAGATGGGACCAAGATCCTCCGTGGTTGGTTTGCTGCTCCCTGGAGAGGCAGATCTCCATTAGAGAGGGATGTAAGCCTAATAAAAAAAAAGAAAAGAATTGATGGCTATTAAAAGAAAATATGTTTTTTTCCTTTCCTTATATTGTAATCACCCAAATGATGGGTTGGGTAGCAAAAAATTTAGGGTAATGAAGAAACATTTACCAGAAATGTGCTGCAGTATTTCTAAGGACACCAGCAGGTGCTGCTGAATAATTAATTTTGAATGCATTCATTCTGTTTTACTGCTAACATTGACAGCCATTAGCAACATAAATAACAGCAGATTCTCTTTTGTGGACCAGTCTCTTGTCAATGTTCATTTTAAAAAGAGTAGTACAGAATATTTTCCATAAAAAAAGAGGAAATGCATATATTTCATATTCAAATGTAAGTACACAGAGTGGCATTTTTTTCAGGCAGTGATTTTGTATTGTCAGAGAAAATCAGACTCCATAGCTTAACATCTCTTTACCCTCTCTGACCTCGGTTTTTAGTTTGCATTTAAAAGGCATATCTTCCCATTTAGCCTCTCTTGAGATTCAGGATTGTGACATGTATTGTGCAGCACAGATTAACACACTAAGCAAGTTTGTCGAAACAAAATTATTAAAGCTCTTTAGAGAAAATGAGTGTGTGAGACAGGGATTGACGTATTGACAGAGCTATCAGTACATGTACAACAGCACAGAGCAGTTGAACTCGGAAATCAACCGGTAAACACTAAGTTATTTACTGATGCCAAGAAAGCATTTTTTTTTCTGTTCTGCTGATAAATCACAGATATTTTTCCTTCCAGTTAACTGAAGCCCACTATAAACAAAGAGGGTAAATGTGGTGCCTCAGTAGCACGCAGTGATGCATCTCTAAATAGAAAGCAAGGGTGTACCCCTTGACTACTGCCCCTTATTAACATGCTACAGGGTGCAAGAATTTATCCCAAAGCCTCCGAGGCTGTTTTAGCACAAAATGAAAGGAGAAGTGCAAATTCTCTTGCCCATGTGAAATAAGGAGTGTTTGTTGTTTGATGGAAACATTTTGAGGTTTCTGTGGAGTTGTGCTCAACAGCTTGAGACCTATTTCAGGGTATTTTGTTGTATCTTCACAGAATCACAGAAGCAGTGAAGTTGGAAGGGACCACCGTTGGTCATCTGGTCCAACCTCTCTACTCAAGCAGGGTCATCCTAGAGGACACTACACAGGATTCTGTCCAGACAGTTCTGGAATATCTCCAGTAAGGGACACTCCACACCCTTTCTAGACAATCTGTTCCAGTGCTCGGTCACCTTCACAGTAAAGAAGTTCTTCCTCATGTCCAGGTGGCACTTCCTGAGCATCAGTTTCTGCCCATTGTCTCTTGTCCTATTGCTTGGATTATTATTGCTTGGATTAGATATGAAACAAGATCATTATTATCTTGTTTCAGATACAGAGTGGAGAAACCAGTGGAGTAGTTTGTGCAACCATCATTCACTCAGCTAACCCAGACTATATTTGACAGACTCCCTAAACCTGGCAAGTCTCCTCTGGGTTTCAAAATGAAAAGTTTAGGGCACCTCTACAAGTATATGAAAGTACTGCTCCTGCACGTCACAGTCGTTCCACTTGCCTGCTGGGTGTAACTTCTGCTTGGTGGAAAGCCCCGGTGCTTGGTGGAAAGACCAGGCGTGTAACATCTTACTCAGCCATCAGAAGCCTGACAGGAGACTCTCACATTTCCTCTGGACTGGCTACACTCTGCTCCATTCAAATCTGTCCATGTCAAATCTGTAAATGTGCATTTAAGCATTTAATGAATACGTGTTAACACAAGATCACAAGATGTCCAGGTCGAACCTTTGACTATGAATGTAAAGATTGATTAAACACAGACCTTTTTGACATGGATCATAGCTTAGCAAAAGCATTAGCTGTTCTTAAGGACAGCTAAACCCCACTTTATCTTTCTAACAAAGTTATGTACAATTTTCTGAATTCTTTAACTCAAAATAGGGACTGGAATTCTCAGGAGAGAAGCAGTGATGTGAATTTGGAGCCCACAAATCTAGCACACCAGGACCTGGATTTGCCTTGCTATTTCCTGGCAGGAAATATATGAAATAGCCTACAGCACAGAGAAGAATAAAGTTTTTTAGGACAGTCCAATAAATTTGATATTTATCTTATCAGAGCCTGGTGCAGAAGGATGTGGTCACAGAGCCAAATCCCAGATGCGAGGATGGCCTATGTTTGAGATCTCCCTTTGTCCTCATCTCCTATAAAGCTGTCTGCTGAGATCCAGTTAGCAACTCTCTGATTGATTCTTTCTTATAACTCTTATGCATTTCAAGAGAACTGCCAGGGGTGTTTTGGTGGTGTGATTAAGTGGTATTTCCTAGCATTATTTTCTGCTTTCTTCCAAGAGAAAGCACAACATAAGATGTTTGGCTTCAATTGAGAAAAACACTGTGAGCTGAAATAAAACATATTTATACAAACCCCTTGGGAAGCCACCAGCTTTCATGAATTCTTTGCGTCAGTAAACTCTGCAAAAACAAAAGCTTGTAGAATGTTTTCTTAAATATATTGGGAAAGAGGCATTTCTTCTTTTATTAAATACACCGAGATGTCCTAAATTACACATACCAAGGCCTCACAATAAAGGCACCAGGAAGTTTCAAACAGACTTGCAAAAGACTACAAGACAGAGTAGCTGTCTTGCAAGGCTATATATTTATAGACACTATAAGCCCTTGCACTATAAACTAACTACTAGACAAGAAGAACTCAATAAAGCAATCAGGGAACATCAGGAAAGAGAAAGGAAGTTATGATCAGACCCAACTGAAATGGCTAACTTCACAAGATTCAGGGGGAAACACTCCTAACTAAAGAGCTGTAGATTAATGTTCACCTCAACAGTGCTGTCACATTAAAAGGGCTATCAATTGAACCTCAGACGACATTTATGTAGTGTTCTGGAAATAATGCAGTAAAAGGAGAACAAAGTTCTTCAAAAGTAAAGTGCTATCATGTTTAAAATGGCTCAAAATGCTCTTTGTGATGCTGATGGCCCATCTCCTACTCCAGCCTAACAGAGAAAGAAGAAATCTAGAGGTCATATCTAGAGACCTTTCACCCAGAATTTTAAGGTGGTCTTGAAAGCAGGGCTTATACCAGTGATGGTCTGCATGCCAAAAATAACTCTCACAGCAGATTTCCAGAACCTAAAGCTGGAGTATGTCCTCTGGAGGAAGAAAACAGGAGCATATGAAATTTGCAGGGACGTTCATTTTTGGTTTTGTAGAGGTGAACACATATCCAGGAAGAGGGGTTCCCACACAGGGAACTGGCAGAACTGGCAAATAGAGGCATTCAGTGAGCACATGCTGTGGTTTATACTCCAGATTACTCTTCCTAAAAATAATTTGGACCAAGAGAAGCAGGCAGGCTTTGTGGAAAACTGAAACAGTGTGAAGAAGGGTACAGGGAATAAGATGATTGAGCTGAAAATGAAGTTCTAGAAACAGCGCTCGTGGGTCTGATAAACTGTAGTTTGAAGACATAGGCTGTAAATGGAAAGGTGAATCCATTGCCATCTGTGCCACACCACATGGACAAATAAGGGACTAGAAAAAGATGAGTCAGCCATAGAAGAATTCACTGTGCTCATCAGCACAGCAAGGAGTCAAATCAAGGCCTCAGTCCCCAAACAGGGCAGCTTCCACCTCAGATGTGTTCCTGCCTCAAAGTAAACAGTGGTAAACCTATTGGGGAGACCTTTTGACAGAGAGGGAAGAACAATTCACCAGACTAAAAAAAAAAGTCTTTTTGATTCTTTTTCTATTGATAATGCAGGGACCATTTGTGATGCTTCACAATCCTGGTAAAGAATTTGCAAGATATGTGGCAGAATTGCTTCAACTGCAGGTACAGCTGATCTCACAAACACCTTTAGACAAGAAGATCTTTCATTTGGAGGAGTGGGCATGGATAGATGAGAAAATGGAGTAAAAAATTCAAGGTTTCTGTTTTCAGAATTCTTGACAAAGGATTTTATAAAACAATTTGCCTAAGTTTAATATTTGAAGGATCTTGGTAAAAATAATTAAACGAAATACCAGGAGACAGAAAATATTTTGGCCAACTAAACCCAGTATTTTTAAAGATTATTCTTTTTCTTTTATCAAGAAAGTAATATAATTCCAAGTGGAGGAAGAGAATGGGCTTTGTTTAGGCTTCATAGACAAAGCAAACCCTTAGTTTTTCATGCTTTTTTTACTCTCAGCGTGTTGTCATTTTTAAGATATAATATTCTAGTATCCTGCCCTACTTTGTGCAGAGCATAGAACTGTAGAATCACTTGAGTTGGAAAAGATCTCTAGGATCATTGAGTCCAACTGTTAATTTAGCACTGCCAAGCCCATCACTAAACTCTTAGATCTGCTCTTATAAAACAGAACAGAAACATAATCCTAGTTTCTGTCGTGATTTTACTCTGGGTCAATTTTTCTCACCCCCCACAAAATTACTATAAATTGAGAGAACGTTTATGCAGACAAAAGGGACTTGATTGGCAAAACCACGACAGTTTCATAGGCAGGGCTTTCTTCCCATTTTATAATCTCAAATGGAAACACATACATGGAGTAGGAGTGCAAGAAGAATTAAAACAGCTGTGAAACACTGTTAGAGAAATAGCCAGTACAGTTAGAAAGGTCTCGCAGCCAGTTCTATTCGAAAAAAAAAAAAAAACTCATCCAGGATGCTGCCTCCAATTTGTGTTCATCTTCTAAGACAGATTTTAACAATATTTACTTACATAACTGTCCTCCCTTAGGGCTCCAGCTGCACTGCTGATTCATGTGAGGCCAAGGTTCACTGAGCATTAGATAGACCCAGATAATGAGAAGGAAAGATAAATTGAGCCTAATGCTAAGTC